CCCCATTTCAATATTTCTCTATTAGCCCAGTCGATATGAGGATTGTGCGTACTAAGCCAAGGATAGCCTAATATGATAGGGCAAGAAGGAGAAGCAATAATTTGGAATGTTATGTCTTCCCTATGTAAGGCACCAATAGACATGTTATAGGGCAAGGTTTTGTGGGTGATTAAGGGTTGAGAGAGTGGTCTCCCATCAAAAGCTTCAACAGCCAGAGGTGATAGTCTCGCCTTGATAGGTATAGCATTACTTTTAACAAACTGAACATCAATAAAATTTCTTGCTGCACCTAAGTCCATCAGGGCCTTGCATGAAAAGTTATTTTTGTCAAATATGATCGTAATAACAAGAAGAAACCTATTTTTGTTATTCCCATTACACCTTAGACCTGTCCTCTTAAGGTTCTTAGGTGCGGTAGTTTTCCGGACATATGGGACAAACACTCCTCATATGTCCTCTTTTACCGCAGTATAGACATAGGCCTTCTTTTCTCCTATATTGTCTTTCTGCCTCCGACAGTCTAGTGACCCCCAAACTGCATGGGTTCGGGTTTGGACTGTACAGGAAGGTCAGGGACAATAGGTCTAAGAAATTGGAGTGCTAAAGCTGTCTACGTCGGAAGCCAAGGTGCGAAATTCTATGGCATATTCCGAGATAGACCGGTTCCCTTGTCTGATATGCATTAGGGCAGTGGTGGTGTCTTCCTCCCTGCCTAATGGTTAAAACATTAGTTTAAATTTCACAAGGAATTCCTGGTAATTGTACGCAATGCTCCTATTACTCTCCCATAACGGATTGGCCCAAACTAAAGCTTTACCTTTAAGTTGGTTCAACAGGTAACCAATTTCAGCTCTGTCAGTGGGAAAAGAGCCCGGTGAGACCTCAAAATGATACTCAATTTGGTTCAAGAATCCCTGGAATTATTGACTATTACCATCAAAATGCAGGGGATGAGATAGGAAGATAGTAAGTGCCTTATGTACTATAGGAGGTACACTAGGCGAAGGTGACACAGTTGGAGAAGCCGCAGATTGCAGATGCGCTGTTCGAGTAAGGAGCGTACTGAAGGCGTGGGCAAACTGATCCATACAGTGATCATTCTCCACTAGCTTTCTCTTGCAAGCAGCTATGTGCTGACACAATTCTACGGGATCTATGGCCATGTCGTAATGTCAGGATTAGTAGTTGATCCAGCATGCAGAATTGTGTCACACTGAGGACTAATCGGTAACGTATTACCGGCCTTAGAATGGCCGGACTTAATGTACCAAAGAATAGTCAGGATTCTTGCCGAGGTCAGGGGATACAGAAAGAGACACAATGATTAGGGAAAGCCAGAAGTCAGGGATACCCGAATACAGGAAAGTCAAAACGAAGCCAAAGTCAAAAAACAGAATATAACTGTTCAGGAACACACTCTTGGACAATCACTAGGGAAACCACGACAGGGCAAAGAGGAAACGCAATTCTGAGCTTAAAATACCTGCTTTACCATCCTAACTGGCCGAGATCGATCTTTGACCCCAAAACGTGCTCGCGCGTCTCCCGCGTGACGTCACGCGTACGCTGACATCGTCAATAACGTGGGCGGATGTGGGGGTATAATTTGCCGTGGATCCGCAGCGGCTGGCGTCTGTCAACATGCTGCCAGAGTCAGTTATACAGATGCATGGTCGCTGGGCGCAGATACCGCAAGGTGAGGAGGAATATGTTACACATACACACACGCTGACCCATACATACATACACACACGCTGACCCATACATACACACGCTGACCCTTACACATACACTCAGACTCATACACACACATACCCATACATACAAACGCACATACACATACACAGACAGACCCATACACACACACACACACACAGAGCCATACACAAACACACAGAGCCATGCAGACTGATGCACATTCTCTGAAACACACACTGCGAGTCCTCTAGTACTTTCATTGTACTTTTCTCTCCGTTCCTGTATTCTTTACTGCACACGGCGGCCGACATTTTTCCAGCCCCATTTCCTGTTATTTCCCCCTCCCCCCCCACATACAGGGCAAGGGGCTGGTAAGCGAATGATGCGCCCTTCGACATTCTACTGGGCGCTAGTCTTCAAGTAAGTGCTCCCTAGTGCCCAGTAACGTGGCCGGTGGCAGCCGCAGCCGGCTCTTTATGATCAATGCAACTTGATAGTCTGCCTACAGGACGCAGTGGCCCTTACCATATGGCCATATTGTGTTAAGCAATTTTCATTTTATCACCCACGTTGGAATCAGTGTAGGACCCACCGATATTGGGATACTATGACATAGCGGTGGGCTTAACACCACTAGTAGAGGTGGGCTCTATAAAAATTATAATAAAAGTGACACTATTTTATTATATTTTTTTATTAATTTATAGAGGTTTTAGATAGTAATATCACTTTAATTATAATTTTAATCGAGCAGATACATAATATGTATTGTGAGCATATACAGCTAAAGCACTATCACTTTAATTAGTTCTGACACTATTTTTATTGCTTTTATCACATTAATTTTGCTTTATATACCTATTCAAAATGCTCTTACAGCAGATTACTAAAATACACTTTAGTTATTTAGCGCCAGCACTATTTAATTTGTGTCCCACGTTTAAATTAGTGTAGGACCCACCGATATTGGGGTACTGTGAAGTAGTGGTGGATTTACATAAATGAGAAAAGGAAAGTAAAACAAGGATTAGTTAGATTAAAACCAAAAGAAGGAAGGAATGTAGAAGAGGATAAAGACTGATTAGACCACGTGTTTGACTGAGCAGATCGTGAGCTCTCCGAGCTCTGAGACCAAAATAAATAGCGTTCATTATAGCCTTTACTGACTAAAACTTCCAAAGTCTTTCATATTATAGCACTGCAACAATAATTAGTGCAGAACGTGATGGCACCAGCTAAACAAACTAAATTGATGGACTCCCTCCGACCCTCGATGAGAGAGCGCCATAAGCAGCCTCTAGAAGGTGGTGACCTCTCAGATGAGGAGACCACCGAAGTGGGTACTCTGATAATTGGTGACACAGAATTCCTGCATACTAAGAGTCACATTACAGAAAAATTTCAAACACATTTCCTCTGACTTAACCAAAGACGTCTCTGAATTAGGAAACAGGACCAGCCAGTTGGAAGACAGCACTGAGGATCTATGTGCAGCCCATAGTGAGGATCTCTGGACAGCCCAAAGTGAGGATCTCTGGACAGCCCATAGTGAGGATCTCTGGACAGCCATAGCTAGGATCTCTGGACAGCCCATAGCGAGGATCTCTGGACAGCTCAAAGTGAGAATCTCTGGACAGCCCATAGTGAGGATCTCTGGACAGCCCATAGTGAGGATCTCTGGACAGCCCAGTGAGTCTCTGGACAGCCCATAGTGAGGATCTCTGGACAGCCCATAGTGAGGATCTCTGGACAGCCCAGGATCTCTGGACAGCGAGGATCTCTGGACAGCTCAAAGTGAGAATCTCTGGACAGCCCATAGTGAGGATCTCTGGACAGCCCATAGTGAGGATCTCTGGACAGCCCGTAGTGAGAATCTCTGGACAGCCCATAGTGAGGATCTCTGGACAGCCCATAGTGAGGATCTCTGGACAGCCCAAAGTGAGAATCTCTGGACAGCCCATAGTGAGGATCTCTGGACAGCCCATAGTGAGGATCTCTGGAGGATCTCTGGACAGCTCAAAGTGAGAATCTCTGGACAGCCCATAGTGAGGATCTCTGGACAGGCCATAGTGAGGATCTCTGGACAGCCCGTAGTGAGAATCTCTGGACAGCCCATAGTGAGGATCTCTGGACAGCCCATAGTGAGGATCTCTGGACAGCCCGTAGTGAGGTACTAAGCAAGATCCAACAACTAACGGTGGAAAACCTTGGGAAAAAGAGGAAAGAGGTGAAAAAAAAAAAGGATAAGGGGGAAAACAAGGAAAGGGAAAAGGAGAAAGATGTTAGAGAAAAAGGGAAAAAAGAAGAGAGAGAGGAAGGGATGGAGGTACAAAGGAAAATGCACCCTACTGTGGGAAAAAAGGCAAAGCAAAAGGAAACCGAAGGTAAGAAAAGAGAGTCAGCAATTACTGCATGTGTCAACTCTACTTAGAGATTACATAAAATGGGGTGTTCTTTTCTTTTCTTCGTTTTTTCCTCTCCCTCTTTCTGTTTTGTTTCGATTTGATCTGATTTAATAGTTTTTTTATTTATTTGATTCGATTTGTTGAGCAATATGAGTATAATATGCAAAGTACTTGCCATTTACTCTTAACCTAACCCTCAACCTCTTTAGTTCTCTACCTGCTGTGAGTTCTATATTTTTATCTTTTGCTGTTTTTTGTTTTTTAAAGCTTATATTATTGTTAAAGGTTGAATGCATTACGAAAATAAGAAAGAAAAAAGGTTAATTAGAAGGATGGATAATACATCCTATTACATATTTTTGATTTCACAATAACTCTAACTGGTTTATGCTATACGAACCATTATAATGTTGGTAATTTTCAGTTTAAGAAAATTTATTTTATTTATTCATTTATTTATTTTTTGGGGCTCTGAATGGGGGCATTAAGTTTTGATACAACTAGGATCAATAACAAAAAGACGCAACGCAGAGGCCCAGACACGACTCCTCCAAGACTCAGCCAAATTAGATGACCAAAATAAACGACGACCATCGAAAAATATCTCCAAACAAATAGCCGCCATTAATAATGAACTCAACTCGTTGTCTCTTATAACCACAGAACGATATGAGATCTCTTAAGCAGATACACTATGCAATGGGTAATAAAGCAGGGAAACTACTAGCCAAAAAACTAAAATCTAAATATCTCCAGACCAAAATACCCTATATTCAATTGTAACGGACCGTTTTGCACACAAGAGGTTAAAACCCGTTTAGGCGATATTCCCCTTTCCAGATGCACAGGCAGCTACTGCAAGCACCAATCTCCTGAACTGCAAACTACACGAATTCACCAACTCCCGAACTGGAAACACACGAATACTGGAAACAGCCGAACAGGAAAAGCATACCCTCAGCTTACACTCCTGGCAATCAGCATACAATCCAATTCCCTCCCAAGAACGAGACGACACTTTGTTTTGAGGGTCAAGCAGAATCTGATTTACTGGGGCTACCTGCCCGGCTTTTATGCAGGTCTCCCACCTGGTGGACACTCCTCTAGGGGACCAGATGGGAGACTGGGACACAAAGGGTAAAAGGACCAATCACAGACTTACACATTTCAACAATCCCACAATGCATCACAATCCCTCCTCTCTGGCCCGGAGATAACTGGGAAGTAATCCAATTATCTCAAAACTCCATTACACACATTTTAGTAAAAAGACATAAAATTACATACGGCTACCTTTATCACATAAAACACACACATTCTACATATCCCCAGATAGCTTAGATCTGAGCGCACCTTATTACCGAATGGCGCATACATACAGTTCAATCGCCATGGAGCCAAAGTCTTTCCCATAGTCTTTCGTTACACGAATAGACTCCATAGCATGGCTATCTGGGGTTATGCTGTTCATACGGTTAAACTACCGAATGAACAGTCATTCGGTTCCACTACCGAATGCAGAGGTAAGGAGGCTGGCAGCTCAGCGGTGTTCACGCAAATAAATGTCCATTTTCAGTTCCATAGTTTGGGCGCTGAACACCGCTGGACGTTCGGGAGTTAAAATGGCCGCTGCCACGTGTTCGGCAAACAAAGTCCACCCAGCATTCGTCAATTAAGCTGCGGTTAACTGCAGCTTCTTGGTGGTCAATTGACGGCACACTCCAGTTCCCAGGTGGTTGATTGAATCTACCGAACACCCCGGCAGAAAGGCACGAATACGCCTTTCTGCAGGGAAAATAAAAGGTTTTAAATGCTGGGCCATAGTCTAAAGGGAGCAGGCGAGCAACCAGGCTCCTCCAGTGGAGAGCGGCGTGGCTGGTTCCACCACATCAATCTATAACCGGGGATAAACTGTTCAACCCCTATCACATAGTAAAAGAGTTGGCACAATTTTATAAACACCTATATAATTTAAAGGATGATCATGAATACACCAAACAAACTTGAAATAGAAAATTTCATGAATGACGTGCATCTTCCATCACTCACTGCCCAACAAGCTCAATCCTTAGATGCCCCACTCGAGGAAGATGAAATTAGATCTGCAATCCACACAATTCCAAAGCATAAGGCACCAGGGCCAGATGGCCAGTCTAACTATTATTATATTAAGTTCCTAAACATACTAACTCCACATCTCACAAGACTTTTTAATGACATTATGCTGCGGGGCACTATACCTCCAGAGATGTTAGAGGCACAAATAGTAACTTTACCAAAACCAAACAAGCCCCCTACCTTATGCGCCAATCTACGCCCTATATCGCTGCTCAATGCAGACCTTAAGCTAAACGCCAAAAACCTTGCATCCCGAATCAAACCATTACTCCCGCAGCTAGTCTCGGCTGAACAAGCAGGGTTTGTCACAAACCGGTAGGTGGGGGACAATACCCGATTGGCATTGGACCTCATAGATTTGGCAAACAATAGCTCTCAGTTAGGCATTCTTTTGGCTTTGGACGCGGAGAAAGCCTTTAACCGTTTAAACTTGTCCTATATGGATGCTACGCTCTCCAGGTTGGGCTTCTCAAAGGCTTTTGTCCGGAGCATTAAGGTACTCTATTCCAAACCCACGGCAAAGGTCTTTAATACTGGTTTCCTGTCATCTGCATTCCATATCTCCAATGGTACGCGGCAAGGTTGCCCTCTCTCACCTCTTATATTTATTCTTTGCTTAGAACCTCTAATCTGTAGCATTAAATCCACTACAGCAATTAAAGGCCTGTTGACCCCAGCTGGGGGAAAAAACTAGCGGTATTTGCAGATGACATTTTGATATTGTTGTGCGAACTGCTTAACTCCTTACCACCATTAAAGCACCAGCTTTCCCTATACGGTCAAATTTCATATTATGAAAAAAAATAAGTCCAAAACACAGGCATTACCCATCAATTTACCTAAACAACTTAAGAAAATCTTACAAACCAAGTACAATTTTGATTGGCGAGTTAAATATTTGACATATTTGGGTATAAAACATACGAATAAGCTCCACCATACAATCAGGGAAAACCACATTCCCCTCCTAGCTAAATTGGAGAATTAAATAGAGAAATGGGGAGCTCTGGAGGTTTCGTGGCTGGGCAGAATAAATTATATCAAGATGATGGTCGACCCTCACATCCTATACCTTTTCAGGACAATCCAATTACCCCTACCTAGGTATATCTCAAGACTTATGCATAAGATTATAAACTCATGTCTGGAAAAAAAAAAACCCAAGGGTTGCGCAACATATGTCATGGCTTCCGCTTAATGCAGGAGGCCTGGGAATCCCCTGTGTCCACAACTATTACAGAGCTTTGGTATTGTCACAGAGTGTTGACCTGTTAGCAAAACATACAAATCCTGTGTGGCTCCAACTAGAGAATGCATGCATTTCACCTTCTACTTTAGAGAGTCTGCTATGGACCAACCTTGATCCTACCCCCCACGTAGGGCTATCCAACACAAAGTTCCTACTTACGGCGTGGAAATAATGGAGCAATAAGCTTATTGACTCAGAAACGTTAATAAAGTGTGCCCCAATTCAGGCCCGTCAGGCATCATCACCTGACCTACCAGTGGGATCTTGGAGGGGAGGGGAGGCATAGCAAAAGTCTCTGATTTGTACGACTTACGAGGAATTAAACAATTTCCGGATTTGCAAAATGAATATTCATTAGCCCATCGGGAACTATTTACATACATTCAAAAGTACTCTCCTTTCCCGACAAATGGAACCCCAGGCACAATCAGCCCCTCATAGGTTGTTTAATCTCCTTACAAAGGGAGCAACAAATTTAAAATCCCTGTCCTTATGTTATTTGGCTCTTGGTGAACCAGAGGAAGAAAAGCTACCCTATATGCACAGCTGGGAAAAAGAACTTGGTAAGACGTTCCAACTCTCACAATGGCAGGAGGCTATCAGATGCACTAAGGCAGCCTCTAAAAGCATATCTATGTGCGAAGCTCATGCAAAATTACAGATGAGGTGGTATTTGGTGCCCCTCAGACTCTCTCAAATCTATAAGGATGCAAATCCTACCTGATGTCAAACCACCATAGGCTCTCTTAGCCATGTATTCTGGGAATGCTTAAAGTTAAAGCAATTCTGGAAGTCAATAACAGCGTTAGTAGACACTATAGCCGGACTCAGGCTCCCCAGATTGCCCCAATATTACATGCTCCACATGATCCCTAACCTTGTAACCATGCCAAACAGAACAATTATTTTAAATCTCCTAGTAGCGGCAAAACTTTGCGTTGCTCATCATTGGAAAAGCACCATAACCCCACCAATAATGGAAACGATCCAAAGAGTGGATTCCATATGCTCATATGAAAAAATGTCCATAACACTGCAGGGTAAATCTTCCCATTATCAACGAATGTGGGGAGCTTGGGATGGGATAAGGGATCAATTCCTCCTAGACAGTCAGGGAAAGCTAGGAGACTCTGAGTCAGGCGTATCACTTTTAACCTATTTATGAGAGGCACTGCGCTAATTTACTAGCTTCCTAGGCACTGTTTACCAACCAAGGTGGTGAATGAACAACTAGGCGCATTGTACTCGCTACTGACCAACCCAGGGCTGAGGATGGATAGATAGTGGGACAGGGGGATCTGATCTGACCTGGGGCAGTCATCTTAGTCATGTTAGTTAAAGGTATACATGAGGTAAAACTAGCTCAGGATTTCAAGTGTGTCTATGGAGTGAAACTAACCCTCCCTCTAACTTTCCCCCCTCCTTTTTCTCTCTTTTTCTTTTTCCTACCAATCCCTCTTCATCTTAGCAGTCAAACAACCAAGGGTACTGATGACGACAAAGCTTCTCACGGTACAACCTTTGCCGCTGAAGTATTAATTGATGCTAAACCCATAATTAGCTCTACCTGATGTGCCTTTTACATGTATAATGATCAGGCAATATAACGTATTTCTGTGCAAGTGATTCATAACTACAATCTGCACTACGTCATATCATGCACCCTTGATATACCTGTACCATGTTAAAATTTGAGCATGCTGGCACCAGGGTGTTCGATGCCTGGCACATGAGATGCTTACTAATAGGCCCTTTGCCTTTTTATAACCGCTATGTTTAATTTACCTACCCAGGGATGGAGTTGGACGGAGGGAGCACAGGAAAATCTGGCCCGAGGCAGCCATTTTAGTCCTTTTAATTAGGCTAGTTAAAGATATGCAAGACACAAAATAAGTTCACAGTTTCAAGTGAGTCACTGGAGTGAGACCCACCCCCTCCCCCCTTACATAACCCTTTTGTTTCTATGTAACCTTTCTATCTTATCGGTTAACCAGAGTTGAGGTACAAATTACGCCTCCTTAGGAGAAGGATGAAAGCAGGGGTGAGCAGGCCTCTTATGGCACAAATCCTAAAATTGTAGTATTAAATGGAGCTACACCTAAAACGCAGCTTTACCTGATATACCTACTACACGCACAATGACCACATACTGTAAAGTAATAACACATAAGCTAAATACGCAACGTGTACTAAAAATTGTACCCTGCTATAACCTGCAATCATTGTTGTACCTTTTCCATGTAAAATATTGTACTTGCTGGTACTAAATGTGTACGATGTCTAGCACATGTGATTCTTACTAACATGTACCTTGCTTTTCTGTAACCGTTATGCTTATTTTAACAAAGAATTAAATAAAAAAAATTATAAATTGAAAAAAAAAAGAAGAGGATAAAGGTTTAGCTGACTGTCTCAATTAATATTTTTGTTCAGTATTTACAGATGAAAATGAAGGAAAGGGGCCTCAGTTAGGAAAAATGACAAATGAGTAATTTGTTACATGTGAGTTTACAGAGGAAGAGGTTCTATTTCGACTGTCAAAAGTAAAGACAAATAAGTCAATGGTACCTGATGGAATACACCCAAAGTTATTAAAAGAGCTTAGTGGTGTACTAGCAAAACCATTAACAGATTTATTTAACCAACCATTGTTAACAGGAGTAGTCCCAGAAGATTAGAAGTTAGCAAATGTTGTGCCCATTCACAAGAAAGGTAATAGGGAGGAGTAGGGCAACTATAGTCCAGTAAGCCTTACTTCAGTAGTGGGGAAAGTGATGGAAACCATGTTAAAGGATAGGATTGTTGAACATCTATAATCACATGATTTCAAGACTAATCTTATTGATTGATTTTGATTGGGTAACTAAAATAATACCAGAGAAAAAACAAATAACTTGAGGTTTGGTTGGTATTTCTACCTCCCAAGCCTCTAGTTAGATTGCAGCGCTATGTAAATCTATGTAAAGTGAATATATTGATTGTGTATATATAACTCACCCCTTTTGGTCAACTTGTTAGGGGGTGTATATGTAAAAATTTAGAAACACAAAGAATAATCGTGCAATATTATATATACACAGTGTACAATAGTTTCAGTGAGTTGAAATTTACTCACATTCTATAGAGCCTTTTAAGTTTATAAGGCTCTAAACTTCCAAGTTTCCTTTTCTTTAAGGTAGACAGCTGGACCCCTTTTGCTTATATTCTTCTCCCCAATGTGGACATAAGAAAAGAGAAGAAACAAAACTCTGGTGTAGTATTTTCAAGGAATCTTCTTCCAATAATATATATTTAAGAAAAAGAGGGGTGCTCACCTTTTATAGAGCTTTTTGGTCACTGGCTCTAAGTATGCAGGCTTTGTGTCAAAATTGGGGTGACACCTTCCCCTTACCGGAATAAAGTGCAGGATGCTGTGCTAAGTGTAACTAAATTTATTATTAAAAGAATTTAAAACAATAACATACCAGCTAAAAAATAAATAGAAAAAAACGTGGGTATGATTTTTAGTTACAAAAGGTCGGCACAGCGAAGGGGACTAGGTTCGCCCCCAGTTATGCCAATCTTTTTATGGCATTTTGGGAACAAATTTTAATTCTATCCAATAACCACTGGGAGGCGAACCTGGTCACTTACAAAAGATACATAGACAATATTTTTTTTTTATCTGGAAAGGTACGGAGGAAAGCTTCAAATCCTTTTTAAATACCAATGATTGGGGTATCATCCTAACCTCAGAATATAGTAATGCACAAGTTCACTTTTTAGACCTAACTGTTTACATAGATCATAATCAAATTAAAACAAAGACCTATTTCAAAACAGTAGATGTGAAAAATGGCTTAAAAATATTCCTAGGTCTCAATTTCTCAGAATCCACAGAAACTGTACAGATTTTAGCACCTTTCAAACTCAAGCCACAAAAATAAAAGAACAATTTATGGAGAAAGGATATGAAAAAGATCACCTCCAAATGATAATGGAAGATGTAGAAAAAATGGACAGATCTCAACTTTTAAAATATAAACCCAAAGATAAAAATGAAACTTATAGTGTACCTTTTATTTGTAATTATAATCAAAGCAGCTGAAAAATTAAACAAATTATAAATAAACATTGGCCTATTCTAAGAAAAGATCCAATGTTACATACAATATTGCCAGATATACCAAAAGTGATAGGGGTGCGCCAAACCTAAAGCAAAAATTAACCCATAACCACATCAGAGAAAGGAAACCCACCACCTTCTTTCACCAAGAAGGTTTTTTTGGTTGCGGAAATTGTTTGGCGTGTAGAAGTACCAAAAATGGGAAGAGACATCTGATAAAATTCCAAGATCCAAAGAATAAAAAAGAATATAAAATAAAAGATATGCTAACATGTTTCTCAAAAAGAGTTATCTATATATTAAAATGTCCATGTGATCTCATGTATGTGGGAAGGACCAAAAGACCATTACAAGTCAGAATAAACAAGCACATACGAAATATCAAAAAGGGTTTTGACAAACATAGTGTTTCTGCACATTTTAAAGAAAGGCATGATAGCAACCCTCGATGTTTAGAATTTTTTGCTATCCAAAAGATAGAGCTAAATTGGCGAGGAGAGGACGAAATTAGAAAACTAGGAAAGACTGAAACCAAATGGATTTTTAATTTAAACACCCTAGCCCCATCAGGCTTAAATGCCGATTTCGAACTGTGCCATTTTTTTATAATTTTATAAATATATATACACTATTTTTAAATTTTCATTTTGATATTTATTTTTATATTTATTAGTATTTTTTTTCCATATTAGATTTTAAATAAACCATATATTAGAACACAGTCTATTGAAAGTATATATACATATACAAAGGGACTACACATATTCAATAGAACCAAGCTATAAGTACATCTAATTATTTTATTTTAAAAATAGATTCCTATTGACCATATCAGACACTTATTGGACACACTTAAATACATCCTCGTAATACTGTATTAAATTTTATATATTCACCCTACAAGTACCTATTGCCGAAATTTAGAAGATCATATATACATAGAAAGCTCATAAGATTTATATTATTAATATACGCTTGGCAGATCGTTCTGTAGGTTGTATTATAATTTATTATACAAGTGTGAATTTTTTTATATAAGAAAATATGTAATTCCGATTACTTTTTAACTCTTGTGGCTTATTATCTAGATAAGAGACTTTTTCTTTCTTATTAACCTTTATCCACCATTTTTATAACTATGTATATAATTATATTCCGAGCAACATCAAATGAATTCCAGAACAGACTGAACATATACCGATGTAATGACCCGGAAGCCACACAGTTTACACGGAGCATCACGGTATTTGGAGTCCCGAAGATGCAGGAAGTGACGTCATAAATAGAGAACGCCACGGATTGGATGATTGGACAACAGGCGGGCTTTTTGAAGAAATAAAAACCGGAACAAGCAGAGCATACCCACGGCCAACTGAGGAAGCTAATTAAAGCGAAACGCGTCTTGGCAAAGGAGATATATTAGAACATTTACTTTTATACTGTTTTTTCTATTTATTTTTTAGCTGGTATGTTATTGTTTTTGTAGCGGAGATGCAATATTCCACAGGTTATCTCCGCTTGTAATCCAAGTGAGGCTCAGGAACAAGTAAATAATAAATCCATAGGCAAAGTTTCCAGCAGGTAAAAATAACAGCAATCTCCCCACAGCACTCCCAATAACTGGACGACACACAGTTTCAGGAGCAGAACTGACAAGCCTTTAATCACAGTCTCCTTATAAAGCATGCTCCCATGCAAGGGAGGGATTTACAGTAATTATTACAGTAGCCAATCCTGTCCTGGTAACCTCCCACACATCCCCTCCCCTCAGCCAGCATCATAATCCCCTTATCCAGCACACCAATTCCCCCCGTTTCTGGATGTACCCCTAAACGTAGGGGTACCCCTTTAAATCATACATCCCCTGGTAGCCCTGATCTGGGTGATCAACATATCCAAAAATCACCCAGATCGGACCAGGGGTTCGGGAAAAGTATGGAGGGAATAAAATGACCGACCGCACGAACAGAGATAGCCGAATCCGGTTCCATGTGAATGGGCCCTGCGGTCGGTCCTGGCATAAGGGAATGAAATACACGAAAACCTCTAGCTATAGAGGCTAGGGAGGGTTCGCCTGAATCCCCTCGTTCGGTATTTTCTATCTACCGAACGAGGGGCCGTTCGGTAGTTTGGAACCGAACGGACCAGGGCTGTGGAGGTCTCAGCGGTGTTCGCCTACTCGAGTGTCCGATTTTAGTTCCAGACACTCGACGGCAAAACACCGCTGTTCGGGAGTTTTAAAATGGCCGCCGCCACGTGTTCGTTTGTCGAATGGCGGCCACCCCCGAGAACAAAGGACGGCTACTTCCTAGTCAATTACCCGTTCGCAACAATGTTGCAACGGGTAATTGAGGACACACTTTACACAGGGGAGGTCTGGCTGTTCGGTAGTTTCATTCGAATAAACTAAGGGAATGAAACTACCGAACAATCAAAAGAATACAAGGCTTTGAAACACATAGAAAACTAGCAGATCACACGAATGCAATTATTTCAAGGACATTTGCAGGACAGCCCAGTGCCATTCGCTACAGTTTTAAATTTTTTTAATAATAAATTTAGTTACACTTAGCACAGCATTCTGCACTTTATTCCGGTAAGGGGAAGGTGTCACCCCAATTTTGACACAAAGCCTGCATACTTAGAGCCAGTGACCAAAAGGCTCTATAAAAGGTGAGCACCCCTCTTTTTCTTAAATATATATTATTGGAAGAAGATTCCTTGAAAATACTACACCAGAGTTTTGTTTCTTCTCTTTTCTTATGTCCACATTGGGGAGAAGAATATAAGCAAAAGGGGTCCAGCTGTCTACCTTAAAGACACGGAAACTTGGAAGTTTAGAGCCTTATAAACTTAAAAGGCTCTATAGAATGTGAGTAAATTTCAACTCACTGAAACTATTGTACACTGTGTATATATAATATTGCACGATTATTCTTTGTGTTTCTCATTTTTTACATGTACACCCCCTAACAAGTTGACCAAAAGGGGTGAGTTATATATACACAATCAATATATTCACTTTACATAGATTTACATAGCGCTGCACTCTAACTAGAGGCTTGGGAGGTAGAAATACCAACCAAACCTCAAGTTATTTGTTTTTTCTCTGGTGTTTATTGTCTTATGGTGGAGTATTGGGAGTACCCACAGAGTGTTTCAGCCGCTAAAGGATTGTCACCATATATAAATTATCAAAGAAGCGCCAACCATTACCACACCTATCTGTGTTCACATTAACTAAAATTATAGATCAGGGTGGTGCAGTAGACATTGCTTACCTAGATTTCAGTAAGGCTTTTGACACTGTTGCACATAGAAGGCTTATCAATAAACTGCAATCTTTATGTTTGGATTCCAATATTGTTGAATGGGTAAGGCAGTGGCTGAGTGACAGGTAAAAGAGGGTTTTAGCCAATGGAGTATATTCAAAGCTTGGGCTTGTCACCAGTGGGGTACCTCAGGGATCTGTACTTGGACCCATTCTCTTTAATATTTTTATTAGTGATATTGCAGAAGATCTTGATGGTAAGGTATGTCTTTTTGCTGATGATACTAAGATATGTAACAAGGTTGATGTTCCAGGAGGGATAAGCCAAATGGCAAATGATTTAGG